CGTGCAGACGTTCATTTTTCCCTCAAGAAATTACCTACTCGACTACTGTCCAACAATCTTCTTCTTACGACTCTTTATCAGTTACCAAAAATAAAGGGCTACCATCAACTCATATTGCAATGAATCGTATACAGTTTTGTCAGAATCCAAAGATGTAGGTATCATTTAAAACCGTGGTTTAAAATATCATAATATGAAATGTTTGTGAAATAAAACGATCATCTTGTGTGTTCAGATATGCCATTCTCAGTGGAGATTAAACATGTGATCGTCAGCAGTATAGGTTTGATCCAAAGCCCATTGAATCAGTAAAAAGCGCCAGTCTAGTCGCTGATCTTGCGAAATAAGGGATAAGGGATCTTTCGGAAAAGGCTTTATTTTCCGCAAGATCAGTTTCTAGACTGGCGCTTTTTTACAGCAAAGCTCTGTGCGGAAAAAAGCGGCAGCCATTTTTATGCTAATGAAGCGGGGGAGATTTAAATTCCCGCTTCATTAGCAATTGCGATACGTCTAATTTACATCCCTTTTCCGAAAAAGGGATGTAGTCTAGACATAGCCTGGTGGGTTTATAATCTGGTCTGTATTACCTGTATTCCTGAATTATCTAAGTATCAGTGGCAGTCATCAATCTTGAAAGGTAATGGTGTAAGCAATAAAGCAGTTCAGTTACTCTGTCATGCTGCAGCACCAGAAGGGGCTGAAGGTACAATTCTTGAGTCACTGTCCTTGCCACAGATAATCCAGATTTAAAGCACAGGGCCAGAAGATGAAGCTGCTGTACTATTCACTTGTGAGGCCTGCTGAGCATTCCTCTTCACTCTTGGCTTTCCCCTTTCTCCCTGTATTTATCTGTTCCGTTATTTTTATTTTGGGGATGAGCATGGGCCTCTGATGCCATTGCCAGTGATACACACCTGGTTCTCTGTATCCTTTTCTTTCCGCATCATCAATTGACCTAGATAACATTACACTCATGAAGCCGGTGTATTGTATTTATGATTACTCATTATTGATTATTTTAATTCAGTGAAAATGGGATATTTTGGATATAAAGCTTCCCTTGCAACAATCTGCATCAAAACACAACAGTTTTTTGCTAATGCATGTGAACCAAAAAGTGAAATGTAATAGAAAAGAAAAGGAAGTCTGTCAGTTTTCACTTTTGAAGCTTGAAAAAGTACAAAGAGTGACCTAGAATATACTTGTGGTGAAATAGCAAATTTGTTTTTAAAAATTCCTTTAGATTCCTAAACTAAGACATTGAAAACTCATTTTACATTTTACCTTCCAGGAATGATCATAAATATGCTAATATCTATTGTACCTACCAAGTCGTCTCGATAGAGTCATCCTTCCGTTTGGCCAAGAATTTAAACCCTTGAGTGGTTTGACATTCCTTTGTGATATTTAAAAAAAGACTAATTTTCATCTGAGCACATTCATGGTGGCTCAGCTCCTCAGAAGTTGAATGTTACGCTGATTAGCCTGTTGTCTGTCTTGTAATATGTCCACATCAAATCAAGTCCATTAATTTGTTCCATCTCCAGGACCTCAGTTAGCATCTAAGTGTAGTCTCTGAGGTATCTTAGTCACTCCTCTGCCCAATCACAAAGTGAACTTTTGCTTCAGAGTAGAAATAAAAAAAAATAGATTTTTTTATAATATTCTTTATGGTTTTGTTTGGGTGTTTGTTTTTTTGCTATAGATAAAATGAATATGCTTTCTGCTCTGTTCAAAACTCTGTTGATATGAAGTCACCAAATGGCATCATGTTCTATTCTGGGGATTGAGTTCCACATATCCAGCAGTTCTCCAGGATCAGGCCCTGACTGGACAGTTGTCTTTGTCTCTGATTTATATGAAAAGAGAATGGTCAGAGGGTACCTGTTTCAGTGTGTTACCATGTTACTCTTAGAGCTGGGTTCACACACTGGCTCAGGATGGAAATGGACTGAATTTAGTGTCATTCTGTACTCTCGTCGGCATTTATCCATAATGGACAGTTTGCAACAAGGTGACTATCTTTGCTTGAGTGAGGCTCAGTGCTGGAATGTGAAGGGCAGTGTTGTTTAGGACAGAGTGAAGCTAACAGAGCTCTTGTTTGTGGGGAAAATGTAACAAGCACTAAGAATCCTCCAGTACAGGTCAAACTGCTCTAATCTGGCACTCTCTGGTCCAGCAACTTCCATGGTTCGGCATGATTTTAGTTGGATATCCACTTATTATGGGTGTGGCAACTTTTCCCGCAGTCCCCAAAAGTTTGTTTACCACCAGTCCTGGCTCTCAGTGTTCTGTACTGTTTTTTAGCTCTAATTTACCTCTAAATGTCTTCTAAGAATCCAGTAAGCAATAGAAGTGTTGGTAATGCTACTAGATAATATTGACCTCCTGTGGTGCAGCAAACTCTCTGGTTCGGCAACGGTCACGTCCGGAGGGTGCTGGACTAGAAAAGTTTGACCTGTACTTGATTAAACACTTGGTGGCTGGAATGGAAGTTTCTCACAATACCTCAAAAGCGAAAGCTTTGTTATCCAGCGCTCTGTTAACTGGAAGACTTTGTTAATCTGCATTGCCCAGCCACAATACCACCGCATCTTCAGGCACACGTGCCTGACCATCTGCCTCTCTACTTGGTGGTTGTGGATCTTCTGACAGCCGGCACTGCTGGCTGACATCATCAACAGGCGCCTCCTTCCCCCATATCTGCTGGTAAGGGGCAGGTGCACAGCAATAAGATTTATCTAGCACATTCAGTTAACCAGCAACCCTCATTCCGTATGCGTGCCAGATAACAAAGCTTTCACTGTACTCAAGGAAAAATCAGTAATGTTGGGAATGCAGCCAAAGCAATAAGATGGTTAACAGTGTTATTGAAACAATGATATAGTGACAAATTCATGTTAGACTTGCAATATGCAAGAGGTTACTCATCTCAGGCCAACTCCTGGAAAGCCTTACTCACTTAAGGTATGTCTACACTACCCTCCTAGTTCGAACTAGGAGGGTAATGTAGGCATACCGCACTTGCAAATGAAGCCCGGGATTTGAATTTCAGCAAGATGTCAGCAAGTCACCAGGTCCTGATGAAATGCATCCCAGGATACTCAAGGAGCTGATAGAGGAGGTATCTGAGCCTTTAGCTATGATTTTTGAAAAATCATGGCAGACAGAGGAGATTCCAGAAGACTGGAAAAGGGCAAATAGTGTGCCCATCTATAAAAAGGGGAATAAGAACAACCCAGGAAACTACAGACCGGTCAGTTTAACGTCTGTCCCAGGGAAGATAATGGAGCAGGTAATTAAGGAAATCATATGCAAACACTTGGAAGGTAATAAAGTGATAGGGAATAGCCAGCATGGGTTTGTGAAGAACAAGTCATGCCAAACTAATCTGATAGCTTTCTTTGATAGGATAACGAGCCTTAATAAGAAAAGCCAAAAAGGAGTTTGAAGAACAGCTAGCCAAAAAATCAAAAAGTAATAGCAAAATGGTTTTTTAAGTGCATCAGAAGCAGGAAGCTGGCTAAACAACCAGTAGGGCCCTTGGATGATCGAGATGCCAAAGGAGCACTCAAAGACGATAAGTTCATTATGGAGAAGCTAAATGAATTCTTTGCTTCGGTCTTTACAGCTGAGGATGTTAGGGAGATTCCCAAACCTGAGCCATTCTTTTTAGGTGACAAATCTGAGGAATGTCCCAGATAGAAGTGTCATTAGAGGAGGTTTTGGAACAAATTGATAAACTTATTAGTAACAAGTCCCCAGGACCAGATGGCATTCACCTCATTGCAGGAGGAGTAACGGTAGTTCGAATTAGGAGCTTTAATTCAAACTACCTAGTCCATGCTGCGTGTAGCCGCAGGCAGGGAATTCGAACTACGGGGCATTTAAAAATGGCGGTGCCCAGGATATTTAAATCCCGGGCTTCATGAATGCCTACAGTAGCCATCCTAGTTTGAACTAGGGTGGCAGTGTAGACATACACTTAGAGTTCTTTGAGGGGGTCAACAAGCATGTGGACAAGGGGGATCCAGTGGCTCTAATGTACTTAGATTTCTAGAAAGCCTTTGACAAGGTCTCTCACCAAAGTCTCTTAAGTAAAGTAAACTGTCATGGGATAAGAGGGAAGGTCCTTTCATCGACTGAGAACTTGTTAAAAGACAGGAAACAAAGAGTAGGAGTAAATGGTCAGTTTTCAGAATGGAAAGATGTAACTAGTGGTGTCCCCCAAAGGTCCATACTGGGACCAATCCTATTCTATTTATAAATGATCTGGACAGAGGAGTAAACAGTGAGGTAGGAAAATTTGCATATGATACTAAACTGCTCAAGATAGTTAAGACGAAAGCAGACTGTGAAGAGCTTCAAAAAGATCTCACCAAACTAAGTGATTGGGCAACAAAACGGCAAATGACATTTAATGTTGATAAATGTAAAGTAATGAGCATTGGAAAAAATAATCCCAACTATCCATACAATACGATAGGGACTGATTTAGCTACAACTATTCAAGAGAGAGAAAGACAGAGCTTGGAGTCAGTGTGGATAGTTCTCTGAAAAAAAAGCAAACAATGTTAGGAATAATTTAAAAAGAGATAGAGAATAAGACATAGAATATCTTATTGCCTCCATATAAAATCATGGTATGCCCATATCTTGAATACTGTGGACAGATGTGGTAATCTCGTTTAAAATAAGATATGTTGGCATTGGAAAAGGTTCAGAGAAGGGCAACAAAATGTTTAGGGGTCTGGACTGGGTCCCATATGAAGAGAGATTAAAAAGGTTGGGACTTTTCAGCTTAGAAAAGAGGGGTATGTCTACACTACCCTCCTAGTTCGAACTAGGAGGGTAGTGTAGACATACCCATAAGTAGCCCTGTTAACATCCATGGGACTGAGTAAGCTTTTACAGAATTGGGACCTATTTCAATGAATTTTTGGTGTCACTACATAATCTAATGCAATACAAATTAAACTATTCCTTTTCTTCTTTCATAGGGTCGTCATGTTAAAACAGGGCAGCTTGCTGCGATTAAGGTTATGGACGTCACCGGGGTAATGTATCCTACTTGGTTTATTTCTATATCGCTATTTCTATGTCCATGAATTACTAACAGGAGTGGTAGGGAAGTCACATGTGAAACAATGTGATGACTCGTGGAAGAATTCTGCTTGAGAGAAGCAAGTGTAATCTATTTCCCCAAAAGCCACAGGATAAAAAGCAATGTAATTGTTGTACTTCTTGGAAAACTAAACAGATGCGTTTCAGAGGGTTACTTAGTAAGAGGGATATTCAAGAAAGAATCATGCCGTTCAAAGTTCCTGCCTGGGTAAACAATACCAGATTTGTGAGCAAGGTTTTGTTTTTTTAACTGAAATTACGGTTTTCAGAATATAGGACTTGATCCAGATCCTCCCACCTTTATTTTTTTTAATTAACATTTCTGAATTAGTTTTCAGGAGTACAACATGTACAAAGCTACGTGGCTACATAGAGATATGAGTAGTCAATAGGCCTCACAAGCAAGTTTAGATTTGACTTAGAGAGAAAAATGGAAGCTAACAGTAAATAATTTCAAATGGGGTGGAAACAAATATCCCCTAGTGTAATTCACCTCAGAATCTCAGGTATAAAGGAAATGGGCAGATGAGATTTGGCAGAAAGCAAGACCACTTTGTAGCAAACATGGCAAAAATGTGTAAATGATGATCCCAAGAGATAATGTTTTGGCCTGGATTAAATTTTAGTCTGAAGCCTAAATTTCCCTTTTGAGGCCAAACTAGAGGTAAATTTGTGTTGTAGTGGCATTCAGTGACCCCATAATTTCATCAGCTGCTGCTACAGATTTTGGAAGAAAGTAGTGAAAATCTAATCAGACAAGTTGATCTTGCAAGATTCCTGGCCCTTTCTGGCCATATCTGAAAACAGGAGCCTTTGGGATCTGAATCATCACCCAAGAATGGGTTTGGATCTGGGAGATTCAGAATCTGAATCTACCTTATTACAATTTGAATTGAAATGCGGGCAGGGCTTAGCCAACAAAACTCAGCAACAATTGTCAGTTTTCCTTTTGACTCTGTTTTAGGAAGGCCAGGATGGCAAGTACTCTGTTTCCTGCTTTTCTTATTCTAACAGATGTGAAAACCTAAAACATTAAAGATCCAAATCCAAACATTTGGCATTGACTGGGTGCTCTGTTTAGCTCTTATGTCGCATGTACTCCTATTTAAAAACAGAGTATTTTTTAAATGTACATTAAATAATTCTGAAAAACAAATCTGTGAAAAGTAGAAAACCTGCCACAGCCTGGCCTCTGTTTTGCTTCACCTCCTACTAATGATCAAACAACCCCAGCTAGGAGAAATATGCAAATGACAACAGACTGCAAGTATCATGAAAGCTTTTGCCCTCATACCCTTATAAATGTGTTAGTCTTTAAAGTGCTACAGGAATCCTTGTTTTTGCAGAAAGAAAGATGCAGATTCAAATCAAGAAGTCATCTGTGCTTTACAATGGAAAATCTCTGTGTGATAAATCAGCTAACAGCTACTCCATCAACTCCCATCACTAACTCCTCTCTGAAAGTGAACTTGTTCTGTAGAACCCCTAAGGCTTTTGATTGCAGTGCTTAATTGTCCTTAAACTATGTTCCCTCTAATTGTATGGTACAATAGGCTGTAGAAAGCTACCCACAAATTACTGCATTTGATCAGAGCATGTAGTTATGATCTCTGAATTATGGACCGAGATTAATTTTGAAGGAGCTGGCCCTTGTACATACAGTGTGACCTACTTCACAGAGATTATTGTAATAAAACTGATGGAGATAAAAGCATGGAAATAAGACTGCTGTTTTTGTCTGGTTTATGAAGCTTTAACTGTAGGATTGAGCAGCTACAATAATGACAGTTCTGGGTGTAGTAATGCCTTTATTAAAAAAGCCCGCTGACCCCGGGCTTCTGCACTTTCACCACACTCCAAAGGCGGAGACACCCTATTGACTAATCGAATAGTTGACGCAAAAATGCATCGACTATTCGATTAGTCAATTACCTGATAATTAACATCCTTAATTCTGAACTCCTAAAGTATATGGCACTTGTCAAAACAGCAGCCAGGTATCTTTCTAGCTGGGATGGGATGTTTAGGAGTAGAGGTGGGCTGGAATCTAATTTTGTTGTGAGGAAAAATAGTGGGCTGAATCATCTTTTGTCGGTCTATGTGCTTGTTGTATTGCCAACCGATGCTTCTGTTATGCTGGGCAAATGAACCCAAACAAAAGTTTCTGGTAGAACCGTAGAATAATAGGGGAAAGGAAGGCTTTTAGGTTACTCTGTAATAAGTTTAAGGCCTGGTCTTCACTCCGTGGAAAATTGTAGCTGTCGCAATTGATCTTCTGGAGTTTGATTGAACTCAGAGGATGCCCCTGCTGATGGCTGGTATACCTGCTCTTGTGAGGAGTAAGGGAAGCCAATGGGAGCATTTGCTCCTATTGGTCTGTCGCTGTGGGGACAGCACCAAGCTCAGTGTAAGTAAGCAGATTCTAGATACATATTCTACGTATCTGGAGTTGTATACTTTAAATCGAACTTCCAGGTCTAGTGTAGACTTGATCCAAGGCTATGTCAACACTACATATTATGTTGGTATAACTAATACCCACCCCCAGGCAACACACTGACATAACTTCTGCAACTCTCAGAGATGGTTCTGTTATGTCAATGGGATAGAGACAGTTCTATTATGTCCATTGGCATAGAGGTCTTCACCAGGCATGCTGCAATCACACAGCTGCAACATTGCATATATACACTTGTCCTTACTCGGAACCTTGTACGCCAGGAGCGGGGAACCTTGCAGACAATAGAAGTGGTTGTTGTTTACCCAAGCAATACATATTTAGCTCACTTTAACCTTTCCTCATGCCAGTTCTTCCAGTCTCTTAATCATTTTTACTGCTCTTCTCTGCATTACACCTGAAAGCTTATGGTAATTTTGGTCACTCTCTGTAGTAAAGAAAGAAATCGGTGTTTCTGGCCATGTGTTGGGAGACATCTGGTCAGAAAATACAGTTGTTTAGGAAGAGCCCATGTTTGTAGATTAGCTGATCACCAGGGCGTCTCTTTATTTACTAGTTTATAAAACTGAAGTCAGAACCAAACAGATGGGGTGGTAATAGACAGGGAAGGAGGTAACATTTATTCAGGGCTCTTTAGAATAAAGCTAATCAGCAATGTGTTCACTGCTCTTTCCTGTTCTATAGACACCGAGATGTCAAAATACTAGAATCCTAGAAACAATGTAAAATAAAATTAGGCTAGATCAGATCAAATCCAGTGCAAACAAAGCAAACTGGGGAAAAGATAGAACCCCAAAATGTGTATCCTCATAATTCTCCTAGCTGAAGACTAGTTCAACTCTTACCGTTTTGGAAGCCAAATTGAACCTGCCGGTAAGAGACTCCAACTCCACAGAAGTTTCCACCAGTACTGAATTTGTCCTCCTAAGAATATTCTGAAATTATCTGGATTGGATAGCTGTCCCAGTGCCTACCTAAATCAGTCACAGAGTGTATATGCTTGTGATAATTGTACATGTAAATCTCAAATTTCACATGTCTTTGATATAGACATCAGCCTAAGTTTGTTTTCTAGAGTAATCCAAGTGCAGGGAGGGAGGTTTAGGTTGTTCAGTAGGAAAAACTTCCTAACTGTCATGGTAATTAAACACTGGAATATATTTGGATTACTCTAGAAAACAAACTTTGATATAGACATCAGCCTAAGTTTGTTTTCTAGAGTAATCCAAGTGCAGGGAGGGAGGTTTAGGTTGTTCAGTAGGAAAAACTTCCTAACTGTCATGGTAATTAAACACTGGAATAAATTACCTAGGAAGATTGTGGAATCTCTATAGCTGGAGATTTTAAAGAACAGGTTAGACAAACACCTGACAAGGATGGTCGAGAGATACTTAGTCATAGCATGAGTGTAGGCAACTGGACTAGATGGGTGACCTCTCGAGTTTGTTCCAGTCCTATGATTCTATGCAGAAATGAAAGTAACTTAAATTTCTTACAGTCCCAGACTGGTGGGGGGCCTCCCCTAGCTAGCCCCTTTCACCTGCCTGTTGCTTAGCACAGTAGCCTTCAGGAGAGCCTGGCTGGGAGTGTGACCCACTTCCTCCTGCAGAAGAGTGCCCTAGCCGACTCTCACTTTCATATTCTATTCTATTCTATTCTATTCTATTCTATTCTATTCTATTCTATTCTATTCACATTACCTTTTTCACAGTGTGTAGTCATAATTCTTAACCTTGTGAGACTCAGCCACGGAACCCATTGCCTTAAATTGGAATTATACCTATTTATACTGGGACTGAACATATGTCACATTGTAAAGCACGGACCTAAATAAAGCGCATAAGCAAAATTAGTGGGGGTGGAGGGTGGAGAAGAGAGGCATGTGGCCTGCCTAAATTGGCTAACTGCAACAAAAATGAAGAGAAACCTCGCCAATGAATAATCTGTGAAATGTGTTCTTTGGTGTCTCTGAGTTTTGTGTTTTCTTATCCTAGGATGAAGAGGAGGAGATCAAACAGGAAATTAACATGCTAAAGAAGTATTCTCATCACCGAAATATAGCCACATATTATGGTGCTTTTATTAAAAAGAATCCACCTGGAATGGATGATCAACTCTGGGTAGGCAGTGCTTTTAAATATCCTCTTCTTCTTTTTATAAGCCTTGGGATTTGATCTACTGAGTTTCCTCTCATTGTAGTCTAACCTCCCACCTCAAAAGCTCTTGTTCTGCCTTATTTAGGAACCATTTGCTTTGTTTATGCTGTATCTTCATATTGAAACTGGTTGTAGCTTGTGATGTGAAGGAACACACTCCTGTTTTGCCAGAAAGGCAGGATTAGACCTTTGATACAGGACTCAATCAAAAATAAACATGCAGGTGGAATTTAGTGATGTGCTGGAGAAAAGGAAGTTTGGTCAAAGAAGTTTCACTACAACACTGAAGCTAAATAGTTGAATGCCTTGGAGGTCTGAACCTCCACAGGCTGTCACTCCCACTGGCTTCACTTGGAGTTGTAAGTGCTCAGCATCTCTAAGGATCAGTCTCAAACTCTCTTCCATCCCTCTCTATCTTGCTTGTTTTCACTTGAATACAGGGACACAGTGAGTTACTTACTCAGGTCCCCAAACTTGGGAGAATTTGGTTCAAATCTAGATCTTCTTGCACAAGAGAAATGACCATGGTCTCAGTCTGGATCCTAATTGACATACGTCCATCCCGCATCTGGCAACGTGTTTGGGAGAGACCCAAAGCTGGAACATCAGTGAAGCTGTTGCAGTTCAGGGTTCCATTTAGTTCTTCATCTCGTACTATCAGAGACATTAAAAAAGAATTCTAGATACCGACTGTGCCAGATTTTGATGTGTTACACGGATGTAAATCTGTATTCCATTGAGTAACACCTGTGTAATTGAGATCATCATCTGTAATTATATCTTCTCTTTTTATTGTGGCACTTTTTAGGGGAAATCACATGATGGTTGTGTTGAAACGACTAAAAATAATGGGAAAGTCATGTAAATGCAACAACACGGGTATTGTTTTGTAGTCTCAATAACACTTGCAGAGCAAGTAACGATAACTGTGATTTGTGCTGTGATAACCACGGTCAGATGCAAAAATAATAGGTGCCATATTTGAGCCAAACTTTTTATAAACTCTATCCTGAACTCAAAAGTTTTCCCATGAAATTGTGGGGAGGGAGAAATTCAGACCCAGTTTTTGAAAAGTGTTCTCTATTTTGGGGTTGGCCAACTTAAGGTGTTCTGAGGCATGTCTTTTGAGAAATACTGAACATCCATAATTCCACAGGAGATCAGTGCAGAAAGGCTGGTTTCTAGCATTGTGGAAAATTGGACTGTTTCCAGGCAGATACCCAAACAAAGAAGCAACCAAAACACGTCAACATTTTTGAAAATTTGGCCCTAAAGTAGGGGGTCTCAAACTCAGGGCCAGCAAGCCATCCCCAGCTGGAGCTGTGTCACAATCTGGCCCAGGAGTCTGAGAGGGGGAGGAAGGAGGTAGGGTTCTTGTCCCCCAAGCCTTGCCCCTTTCTGACACTACCCTGCCCTCTCCCCTCCATGGCACCTAACCTCAACCCTCGAGGGGCGTGGCCTTAGGGTGTTGCGGGTGGGGGGAAGCAGAGCACAGCAGAGTGAGTATGCCCCCATGCGCGACTCCCACTGCTGCAGAGAGTGCGGGGAGCCTGACCACTGATGTTGCCCCACGCCAGACCCCCCTTGTAATTCCCAGGGCTGTGTCCGTTGGGGTAACAGGTGCCAAGGGGGGAGAGGGTGGGACAATGGCATGGAGGGATGTGGGTTGGGGGGTGGAGATGGACAGCCCCTTACTCCAGCCCATCTAGATTACCAGAACAGATTGCACAACTGTTCTAGCCAGGGATTGCCTGCAGGCTGTGCATTTGAGACCCCAGCCTAAAGCTCTTACTGAAGGTTCTCTGGTATACTCCTTTGCACTCTGGATGTAGATGGTTAATCATCCCCGTGGGGCCCACTGCAGGCAGCGGCAGCTCTGTGCTCCTTCCCCTCCCAGCTGCAGATTATGCATTGGTTCTCCTTGCTGGCCCCACTCCCAGGGAGCCGGCTTCGCGGTGGTGGGCTTATATATAAGCTTTATACTACCAAGCCCGCAGTGTGTTTAACCATGTAACCGCTAGGATTGTTAGCAGATACACGGTTACGTTTTTAAATTACTTTTTACATCCCTAGTTTGAACTCCTTAGAGCTGTTACAGAGCATTGGTTTGCTTTGCGTTTCACACAGCCCAGGCTTTTATTTGGCAGCTCTCTAAGGTTCCCAGATAAATTGGTTCAAATGTTTGTCGAATGCGCATGCCAAAATGTCAACAAGTCATGGGAATAAAATCACAGAATACATGATTTCCGTGGCATCTGTGACTAAAATATAGCTGAACTAAAGGGGGTGCTGCCAGTGATCCCTGTATTTAGGTTGTCTAAGGCTTTCCATTATAAAGTGTTCTTACAATATCTGTCTGTCTGTCTGTTTTTAGAACCTTTTGCACATCCTTGGCTTGTGCTGGTCCATTCGATTCAGCAAAAAGAAAGCTCTTGTTCTAGAAAAGTGCCTTTTCTTTGTCTCATGGAGTTCTATTCAGGTTTAGCAGCTTTCTAAGCTGTTAAAATGAGCATTTCCTTTGTGTTGCTTTGTGTTCCTCAGGAAAATCTTGGTAGGGTGCCACCATAAATAAACACAACCCTGAGGGATGTGGGGACTTTTGTAAGAGCGGGGGTGCTGAAATCCAACCTCCTACTCCTTTCTGCTCCTCCCCAGCTGAGGCAGGAAGCAAAGCCCCATCACACGGAGCTGGCAGCCAGGTTCGCAAGTCACAGGGCCAGGCAGCATCAGAGCCCACATCATGCAGGTGGTAGGTTGGTAGCCTAGGGGTGCTGCAGCATCCCTAGTTCCCATGCCTATGACAACCCTTCTATAAAAATTCATTACATGCTGCCACCACAGCATCCGATGCTGCACAGGGAACCTTTGGGAGCTGCCAGAGCAGTTGTAGCAGCTGATGTTGAAGGGACAGCTCAGCTGTGCCATGCCAGGCTGACCTTCTCTTGAACAGGCTCAATGGTCCTAGTGTCCTTTGCCATCTTCTGGGGCACCACGTGGGACGGGAGCACTACTATTTGGATGGAACTGTAGGACTGGAAGGGACCTCAAAAGGTCTTCTGGTTTAGTCCTCTGCATTCAAGGCACCATCTAGACCAGGGCTGGGCAAGATATGACTCCTGGGCCAGATCTAGCCCACTTAACTATTTGATCCAACCCATGGGCTGCATCTGGCTACTTACTATTCATGTCCTCCTGTGGGTGCCACAGAATGTCCAGGAGGTGTCTCAGGCAGCAGAACCTTATTTAAAGGGCTCCCGGCCTCACCACTACTGTGTTGCCCGGTGACCACTCAGGGTGGCTGTGGCTATTTAAAGGGCTTGTGGCTCGGCCGTTGCAGGGTAGCACCAATACCAGGAACCATGAGCCCTTTAAATAGGGTCCTGCTGCCTGAGACACTTCCTGGAAATTCGGTGGCATAATTTGCTTAATAAGAAATGTGAGGTCCCTGACAGCTTACCAAAATTTGTGGAGTGGCCCTGCTGTGAGAATTATTGCTCATCCCTGAGCTACACCATCCTTGACAGATGTTTGTGTAAGCTGCTCTTAAAATCTCCAGTGCTGGAGATTTCACAACCTCCCTAAGCAATTCATTCCAGTGCTTAACTACCCTGACCGGAGAGTTTAAGCAGGCTCCCCCTTGACCTTCCCTCTGATCCAGCACATGGTACTAGAGGTCCATCTGGCCTCTGGGATAGTAGCTTTCTCTTGCTGTCCCTATAACTCAAGTGGCAGCAGTTTATGCTTTAGTGCTAAAGATTCTGGGCTGCCCCCCCTGTTGATGGTTCATGAGTATGTTCTTCCAGTTGTACCTGTTGGAATCTGTTTTTACTTTGTTGCGGTTTCAGTCTGATTAACTCTTTTCTGGTCAGACAAGTTTATCTCTAAAGCTCCTGTCCAGGGGCCTCCACAACAACTCAAACTTGCCAAAGATAAATAATGACAGAAAAAGAATCTCCCATAATAGAATCTCCTTTGTCAGATTCTCCCGCCCTGGAGAAAGGCCCAGGAAAATAAATTAGCCCCACTTCTTTCAGGCAGCTGGAACCAACGAAGGCATAAGCTGGAATTATGATTCCTCCAGAACAGCAGTTCTCAAATTGTATTGCAATTTCTGACAACAAAAATCACTACACAACCCCAGAAGGGGGGGAATGGAGCCAAAGCCCAAGCCCTACCTTCAGCCTTAAGTGTGGGGGAAGTGGGTCTTGGTCTTGGTCTTTGGCGTCTGCATTTGACCCAGCAAGTGTCATGCCAGCCCTGAAGACCCCATTTTAATGGTTTGCACCCACCATTTGAGATCCACTGTCCCCTAAGATTCTGCTGAGCCCCTTCCACAATTGTGCAAGGGAGAAAGCTTTTTATACCCACACCTCTATTTGCATCCCCTTGGGCTCAATAACTGGTTGCACGCCTGTGTCTTGTGTCAGCCTAGATGATACGATGGTCCCTTAAAAATGTATGAATCAACCTACTCAGTAGCTTGGCCAGAGTCTGGACCTTTACTTAAAGACAAAGGGATTAATCATAGCAATGTAAAGCTTTCAGGCGATTGATGAGTCGTGCTAAATTTCATCCTCTTTACATTTAAAAGGGATTGTGTGGCTAGTGTTTTAGAAAGAATATGTCCTGTACTGAAGGTGAATGAGAAGTGTTTGAGGGAAACACCTTTGACAGTGGGAAATGAGCAACGCTTTTGTCTCTGTATTAAATCACTGTTGTGTGAGGTATCTGATAGAATTCTCATCCCGTTCCAATTTAATCGGTTGTTGCTTTGGAGATAAAGGCTTGTTTATTTTTCACCAGCTCTTTATTGAAATAAAACTGTTTCTGATAATGCCCAAGTAATTCTCTTTATCGACACTGAGAGGCTTGATACGGAAATCATAAAAGGGAGCTTTTTCAATAGAGATTAAGATCTCTCGGAAACAAGGCAAGCTTCTGACAACATATTGTCGTTCCCCCGC